GACGCTGCTCGTACAATTTGCAGTACTCAGCGAGAAGACGGTTCCTTTACCTTAAATTCTTTAATAACTGACCATCTTTCTCAGGATCCCATTTATTTTCCTCAATTACTTTGTCCATTGCTTTATTGGCTACATATTTATCAGCGCACTCTAATAATTCCCTTTCAGCACCTGCATCCCCAATTTGTTTAGAAAGATATTCGAGTGCTTTATTATAGTTATCTCTCCATTCATCTTCATGTTGAGATACAAAGCTTTTAAGATATGAAAGGTTAATAGCAGTTTCAATACTTGATGAAAATTCTGGTAATTGAAGTTTTTTGCTAGTTATGTTATTTAAGATTGTAGTAATAATATCTTCTTTAGGAGCGTTTAATTCATTGCATACTGAATCATCTAATTCAATGCTACCATCCTCTTTTTGCTTAGATATAACTTCTTTATATTTCTCTGAAGAATATGAAGCGTCGTTTGGTGCTTCAACCACGCTTGACAATCTTGTTGGAACTACATTGGATGATTCAATCTTATTTGGTTTTTCTAATTTCCATCTCTTTGAATTGAAATCAATCTCCATTGGTGATTTTATAAAATATGGAATATCTTCTTCATCCACACCTTCCAAATTCAGTGCTAATCTTTCCTTAGATTTTAACCGATTTGGAAATCGTTTGTAATTGTAAATAGACTTCTCAGGATATGAAATAGATCTTAGGCGTTTAGCAGAACTCAAATTATCATTCTTAAGTTTAGCAAGTTCAGCTTCGATATTTAAAAATCTCCATAGAATTTCATCCATTGTAATTCTTTTTTCTGGTTTATTATCCCATCCTTTACTCAATAAAGAATTTTATAAATTAGTACATAATTCATGAATATAAAATAATTTATAAAGTAATTATTAATATCAATACCATCTGTAATTATTCTTAGATATTTTCTTTGAATGTTAAGAACGTCCAATGTGAAAAAAGGTTGGTTTGGGGTTTCTCTACGACCCTGTGTAACATGAGCAATAATTTTTTCTTTACTCATTTTTTCATAGGGAATCCTTTGAAAAGCTAGTTCCCATAAAAGCATTATGAAACTATATAAATAACAGTGTATATAATATTAATATAACCATTAACATAACTGAAATAAGAAAGGTCATTTAGAATAAATACCTAAAAACTTCACATTCTTGAGTATATAAGGCATTCTTTTGCATCATTTCAGGTGCTGACCAATTAATAATATTCAATGTATGATTCGAGATATTGTCTTCATCATCTGGTTCTATTTCTGAAGCATGTTTTGCAAGATAAAAATTTGCGATCTTCGGTTGCAAATAATAAGTCATCTGCGATACGATAAGTGGATAAATATATAAATGAATAAATGACATTATGATCAGAATTGAACAGAGTTTTGAAGCAAGATTTAGAACAAGATTTACCATTATATTCTCACATCGAACGTCACGATGAAAAATGTCTATGTGGTTCAAAAATATTAAGCCTCGACAAATGTCACGTGCAATTTTCACTTTTAAATCCCAACGAATTTTTTTCTTTTCGTAGATATTCTTTAAACTACCCAAGCCTATCCATTCAAATACCAACATTTCATCACCATCAATATTTGAAAGTCCATAAAATTTAAGAATATATTGGCATTCATCGAACTTCTTTAATTCACTCAAAATTGATAAATTTTGTCTGTAATCAGTAATGGGCTCACATGCCACTTCAATACCACGTTTATAGATCTTCTTTACAATAAGCTTCGTTCGTAACCAATTATCTAGATTCCATTCTGACTTTTCAAGATCTTCTCCTGCTCGAGGAGGATCAAATAATAATGCAGAATCGATATGTGGAACATTGATATCTAAATCTGATCTTTTGATTATATTTTGAATTATCTTTTCAATTTGAACCATCTTTTCATTCTTATTTTCGTCAGGAATATTTTTTAAAATCTATTATACGTAATAAATATGTTAAAATTATTCTAGAAAATACAGTCACCCTCCCATATAAAGTGTGCGACAAAAATATCCGGTAAATTTTATGTAAATTATCAGTGATTTTAGGTTTGAACGAATGCTACAAACTTTAGGATTAATTTAGGACTAAAATCATTGAAAATTAAATCAATAGTCCTCAAAATATATACTTGTTAAATGTAGCAGTAACGAAAAAACGCGGTTACAAAAATAAATTATCCACCATCATGTACAATGCTTGTATCTCAAGAATTGCTGAATATTTTGAAGAATATTGGCTTAAATGAATGCTAAGATTCGAGACGTTCGTTTAAATCCAAAATCATCAATAAAGGCTTATCTATTCGACATTAATCAATAGCGTATTCATTGTGAAATCGGAAAAATGAATATGCCCGATATCGCAGGAACGGTTGACGACTTTGAGTTTAAATGAAGGTTTCAAATCGTAGCATTTGCTTAAACCTAAAATCCTTGAAAATGGTTTGTTTAGCCATTTTCAGGTTACATAAAAGTTCCGAATATTTTTTGTCATCCACTTTAATCGCACAATTGGGTATTTTTTTTAAAAAAAATATAATTATATAGAAGTTCTTTTCTTATGAACCAAATAGTAGTTTGGCTTATAATGTGATTATGAGGGATGATTATATGGGAGGTTGATTATAAAGGAGAAATCCTGAACTACTCTTTTTATTTGACATAAATATACGGTACCTTATGAATATTCATAATATCTTCCTGTTGACGTTCTTGTTTGTCCATTATGGCTTTAATTAGAATTGGATGTAATCTTTTTTCACAATTCTCATGTTCCTTTACCAATTTTTCATATTTGTCTTTTACGTGTTTATACGGATAAAAAATATAGTGACTCTTTTCTATATTCACTACTTCTTTCGCGAATTCTCTTATATTTTCTAACGAAATTTTGTATTTATTAAAGGCATCTTCATATTGTTGAAAATATAATTCAACTTCATGCTTTACATAATGTAAGGCTCGAACAGTCTCTGATGAGGAGTGAATAATTGGGTCAAAGATTTTTTTACTCCTCTTAAGGTTTATAATGATATGTTTTATTTCATCAATTAGTCTGCAACTTTCGTCAACGCAAGATACACGAGACATTCTTTTTTCAGGAGTTTTAATTGGTGTTGCCATAGAAAGAATCGTTGGAACTTTACAATTTATAAATGGAAATTTATATGATCGGAATATATTTTATGAAAAAATTTACATATACTGACAAGGTTAAGTTGCTTGTTTGGGATCTATTTAATTCTTTAAAAAGTCTTTGAAAGTTTTTAAATAGTCTTTAAATAGTCTTTCGAAAAATTTGCAACCACCCCAACCCTAAAAATTTTGTAGACCAACTAAATTTCGTTATCAGGTGTAACGCAAAGGAACCGCAAAAGGCTGAGTAATCCAAGAAATCGTTCATAACTCAATATCTTGCCTATGAAACTGTCTTCTGCGCACTAACAAAGAAGTTTTCTTGCGAATTTTTGGCAACAGTGGAGCTCTTTTAACCTAATATAACAGCAAAACCTAATCCTAGTCTAAGGATGAAAATTTTTTCAGAGAAATTTTGAAGTTGGTAAAACGCTAGGGTTCACGAAAAGTGGGCATAAGAAAGCCTTTTTTGGCACTCCTGATAAAGAAGAGGACTCCTCGATTTCGCCTCTGGTCCCCCCCACAGTTAGCAAAGACGATTATAATGCAGATGTTCTTAATGGAATTCAGGATGAAACAACTCAGACTCTTATTCTCAATAAACATATTGAAGATATTATTACTGATGACAAAGAACCGGATCAATCTGAAAAGAGAGCTGCATTTGACACCACCAAGGAATCTGTTACTCCTGAGATCTGTAAAGCTATTACTTCTACAGCGGATGATGATGGTCGTATTGAATTAAATGAAACAGTGTGTAGAGAACTCGATCTTTCAAAGGAGGAAATTATTAATGCAGTTCAGAACAACATTACTAATAAAAAACTTAAATCGCCTGGATTGCTTTCAACTGCTATTAATCTTTCTTATCTTAGAAATGCTGCGTCTGAATTTAAAGATCAATGGGAAGATAAATACGATAATGCTCGTGAATATCTCTCGAAGCAAATAAGAGACGCTAATGCTGAGAAAGAACTTTTGGAGTTCACGGATAATTATGTAATCGACAATTGCGCCAAAAAAGCTATTAAAGATAAAAAGAGGTCTGCTATTGTACATATTCAAACATCAATAACTCCCGATAAATATAAAGCAGTAGTATCTAAACAAAAAGAAGATGGATCCTTTGAATTGAATGAGACTATTTGTAAAGAATTAGACGTTCCTATAGAAGACATTACGACTACAGTCAAATTGAACACTAATAACAAAAGACTACGATCTCCAAAATCGGATTCATGGTGGAAGACAGCTCTTACCATGAGTTATCTTCAAGTTGCCTCACCTCATTATGAAAGCCAATGGAAAGGTAAATTTAACAAAGCCTACGAATATCTATCTAAACAAATTGGTGACGAGAATATTGAAAAAGAATTATTAAAGTGTACTAGTAAATATGTGATTGATCGAGCATATGAACTTGATAATAGTCAAGAAAAAGTTATTTATGTTCCAAAACTTGGTTTCAACGAAGAAATTCTTCAAAAAGTTCATGAAGAATTACGTTCCTCCGTCGATGCAGACGCTGCTCGTACAATTTGCAGTACTCAGCGAGAAGACGGTTCCTTTACCTTAAATTCTTTAATAACTGACCATCTCGGTATAAAGCCAGAAGAAGCTATTAAATCCCCTAAACGATTCGCTATTTGTCCTAGACTTAGGGAATGTGATGACTCTGTTTGGCAAACGGCTTTCACGATCTATTATCTTAAGACTATATTAATAAACTATGAAAATGAATGGCGAAATGCTTATGATAATGCTAATAAATGGTTGTCTAAACAGATCAATGACACGACATTGGAGAAAGAGTTATTTTCTGCGTGTGAACAATACTTAATTTATTCAACTAATCTCAAAGATACAGAAAGACTCAAGATTCTCAAACTTAGAGTCGACGACAAAACACGCAAAGAACTTTTTGATGATTTACGCTCTAATGTCACAGCAGATCTGGCTCGTTCACTTTGCTCTGCACAAGAAAGCAATGGTTCATTTTCTCCAAACGCTTTAACCATGTTGCATCCATTAATTCCTTCTCCGGCCAGTGCTGTTGAATCTCTTAAACTTTATGTTGGTAGTACAAAACTTAACACTTGTAATGATTCAATTTGGTACACAGCCTTTATAATTTATTACTTTAAAAGTGTTTTGGTAAATTATAAGAAAGAATGGCACCATGCACATGATCGCGCTAACATCTGGATAACTGAGCAAATTGACGATGCTGAAGCAGAAAAGGAATTATATTCTGCTTGTGAACAATATTTGATCCATCAAGGTGTTGATTTCATTAACAATCGAGGCAGAATCGAAGAATCTCAAGAAGAGATCGAGGTTATTGAAGTTCGAGTTAGCGAAGAAACGCGTAAAGCTGTTCATAAAAGTCTTCGTGATGATGTTACAGAGGAAGTCGCTCGCACACTTTGTAACACTCAAGAACCCAACAGTTCGTTCACCCTACATAAATCAATTTCTGACCATCTTAAAATTCCTTCAATTGATAATGCCGTTGAGTCACTCAAGCCTTATGTAGGAAGTTCATTCTTGAGAAGCTGTAATCCGCCTATATGGTGTACAGCTCTTACAATCACATATTTAAAAACTGTTTGTGATAACTACGAGCAAGTATGGAGACCTGCCTATGAACGTGCAGCAGAGTGGATTAGTCAACAATGTAAAGACCCTGAAGATGAAAGAGAATTATACTCTGCATGTGACCAATACTTAATCAAACAGGGTGCCGAAATCCTTAAAGAAAAAAATAGACAACGTCTTTCTAAAAGACAAGAAACATCCAAGTCTATGGAAACTCCTTTTAAACAACTTTAAACAGTAGGAGATTTTTAATTGTGTTTTCAAATCCCTTATTCTAAATAAAATGGTAAAAAAATTGTAAGTTTTATCTTCAAAAAAAAATTTATTATATAATACCTATATCGCGAGCATCATAAATGTAATTCCTATATGCATATCTTTATTATTTTCTTTATTTAAACAATGTCGAATTCTATAACATTCTCAGTAATTGCTTTATCTTGTGAGGCAAAATAAATATTCTGAATTTTGTTACTAATCTTTGTTATTAATTGAAAAATTTTAATAGTTTATTATCAAATCTAAGTCTAAATAATGTTAATTGATACCGATATTCCCATCCCTCTTAAAAATAACAATTCTTTACCTAGCACTACAGATAGCATTCTATCTTTGAAAAAATCAATTTTTTCAAATATAAAAATCATTATATTTTATTAAGTCAATGTATAATAAAATTGTAAATCAGTATTAAACTTGAATTAAAAATCTTAATCGCCGATCAATTCGGATACGTATCAGTATTCTTAATTTTAAACGTATAGATCCCAATACATATCGGATTAAGGATAAGGAATAAGTCATGGGCCTCTTTTAATTGAAAATATCAAGAAGCACATCAAAATAGGAGTAGAACGTTGGTGGTATCTATAGTTGTTAGGCGAAACCTTTTTCGCATGATGACGAAAGACGAAACCTCTGACGAAAGTCGAAACCCAAACTTAAAAATGACAAAGCCTTATGCTCAAAAAGACAAATCCTAGTGCTCCCACTAAAAATGAAATAAAAAAAAAAAAAAAAACAATTTTTATTTTTATTGAATTAACATTCATAATTTTTTTAGAGAAATTACATGTATGCCAGTAAAAATAAACCAATTCATTTTTCTGGACAACGTTGGGGTTTTTTTAGACCGGTTAAAATAACCTTGTCAAAAAGCCATAGTACTCATGGAATAACACAAATAACGAATTAAAAACATACTGGCATAAAATAAATTTGTATGATCACAAAGTAAGCACCAAACGACTTATCACTAGAATTGATATGTAGTCTACAGTATAACATCTATATAACGAAGCTCTGGAGCTGGAGCTTTGCTTCGTTATATCAAAACTTTATTAGTAGTTTCGTTATATCGGGGCTAATTTAAACATAAAAATTAGAAATAATCTTCGTTATCAGGTTCGTTATATCGAGGTTATACTGCACTAGTATAATACAATATAGCGATAGACTACTTATTTCTAACTCCCTTTAAACAATTCAAGCGCCTATTATACAATAAATTTTTTGTAATTTTTATAAATTTTTGTTTTTAGTTTATTTTTTTTATATACATAATCTTCAACGATTTTCAACATTTATTTGTATATTCGTCTTTTATTAGTTTTACAGTTTCATCATTTCGTCGCACTGACGAAACGCGAAACCTAGTTTCGCCTTTCGTTAATTAAAATTTTAAATGACGAAATGAAACCTCGAGGTTTCATCTAACAACTATAGCTGGTATCGTTAATAAACCCATAAAAAAAAAAACAATGTACATAGGATAAAAAAAAAAAAAAAGAAAAGAAAAGACATACCTTCGCTGTAATTGTAAATAAGGCTGAGTTAATGTTTAAAGTTGATTTAGCCAGCCGTTTAGTCAACTTCTTAGCTTTTTAACTGGCTGGTAGTTTTATCAGCCGGTTAATCATAATAATCAATAACGATAATGATGCCAAATTTGTTAAATAAGAAAATTATGTATCAAGAAAAGCGTGAAACCCTGAGTTGCGAGTAAATTCGATACATAGATCGGGTTTAGGTGAAATCTGTATTTATGTTTTTTATTAGGGGAAATTACACATTGGGACCCAAATTTGAAAATAATTAAGAATGAGGGCCCAACTTAAAAATATTTATTTATAAAGGCCTAATTTTTGAAAATATTACAAATACGGGCCCAAGTAATTTTGCATCGTATGAATCAGTGCTCATTGTGGCTTAAGCATGATTTCAAGCAAATCATGATTTAACTTATACATACACACGTATGTAACTCAAATTTTACTTCAAATGTCATATTACTAACATAAATTAGCAATCATATATTCAATATATGAATATAAAAATACATTTATTTATTAATAAATTTTTTTCGTCTCGATTTTCTAATAATTTGCTTATAAAATCATCATCTTCGATTGTAAATATTATCGTTATGCCAAACACATTACAAATTTGGATGATATTTACTCGGAGAAACGGCACCAGAAGACCAAAATACTTGCAAAAAATGCGGTAAAAAAGGCCATAATATACGAACCTGTAATCGAAGATGTAGGCGAAAGAAAATTAACTTACTATACTTACATTAAAATATTTCGCTAATTATTATTCTTTTTACATATTTAAAAAAAATAAATAAATAAACAAATAACATAAATGCTTATTAAGAATAAAAATTGATGCCGTATATTATTTCTTTAACCACAATTTCATGTAGTTATGAAGTGAGGTGAGTAATCGTTGCAATATCATGGTGAAACGATTCCGTGATTACATTAGGGCCCATATTTGTAATATTTTCAAAAATTAGGCCTTTATAAATCATTCTTAATTATTTTCAAATTTGGGTCCCGATGTGTAATTTCCCCTTTATTTTTTCTAGCAACGAGTATTATTGCTGATTTTTCAATAATTTTCAAAACATTAAGACATACAGCAATATTAATTGAAATGACTTTTTAATTAATAAGGGTCGTAACGTTCTTTTTGTAACTTTTAAAAGATTTTGATTAGCCAATTTTAGGTTCTGTAATCTATTCGTCCATTGATTTTCGTCCACATTTTAAATATCTAGAAAAGAACGGCCTATGTGCCGAATATTGTAATTTACACAGTTCAGTATGGTGCGAAGATCATATTCGTACAGTATGAGATATAAACTACCTTATTCTAAAAATTTGTACCATACTGATCCCGGTGTTATATATTACTATTTTAGGTTTGGAAACTATGGTATAATTTTTTAAAATAGGCACCCTTTATCATGCTAATTCTATGTTAATTCTATGTTATATATTACTGTATTAGTTTTAGAGATTATCGTTATGTATCTTTATTTGGCATAATTTTTAAATTTAGAGATCAACATAGCTCAGCACAGATTTCAAAAATCCTATCTAGTGCTCGCCACAATCAAACAAAAATTTGATAGTCAAATACTTGTTAATACTTATGTTTAAATCGGATGTCAAACGATTGCAGATTAACCAAAGCTAAATATATACTATTGGTTAATCTGCAATCATTTGATGTCCGACTTAATCACAAGTATTAACAAGTATTTGACTGTCAAATTTTTGTTTGATTGTGCCGAGCACTAATCCTATCTTAAAATATTATCAGAAAACAAGCTTTTTGCCTTAATAAAGAATTTTTTCGCATTGTCTGTTGATTTAAAGGATGCTATAATTTTGTGAAAGCTTAGTTTTCAATACAAAATTTTTCAGAATCTTTTTTTAGATTTACACACACATTTAAAATAAAGCAAGTTACATTTTCTAATTGGTATCTAGGAATTTTAAATTATAATTTAAGTATGGTATAATGTATATATTTATGGCATTCATATTATTAATAAAAAATTTAAAAAAAAATAAATAAATTAAATAATAAAATTGTTATTTCCGGTTGGTGAACAAAAGAAAATGTTACTCGGGCTTTCAGTTTATAATTTATTATCAACCGGATTCGCCCATTAAAAATATTTATAGTAACATCTATGACATGTAATCACAAACTTTTCATAAGCAGAATTTGATAAATAAAAAATGATAAACATGAAAGTCCGAAATTTCAATTTCTTTTTGTAATTTTCAAGAGATTTCTTATTTTTTTTCATTCATTTTGTTTTATTTCCAATCGTTCATTCATCATTTATTTATCAATACTATTACAGTATTGGTTATTCTTACATATGTGACCTTAATTACCCTTCGGAAATCAATTGCCCGAATAACTTATTTATACAGTTTAAAGTACTTTTTGAGAACGTAAAGTTTCACTAAAAAAATCACTGTAAAAGCCATTTCTAACTTCAAAAGAACGTCTATATTTATTGTGCAAAAATAATCAAAAATAATCAGTAACACCAAAGAACTTCACTTAGAAGCGAATATTTTTACTATTTATTGTAGTATTAGTCATATTAACTGTATGTAAATTCTAAATGCCAACAAAACAAAAAGAAGATTAGAACGTTACATGTAAGATCTAATCTAAAGAATTTTGTTATACCGTTTAACATGCTATTATAATGAAAAGCTTATACTAATGCTTATATTTTATTTATTTTATGTATTCTGAATATTATATTATAACTTCGGGTTAAGTAGTAGGTTGATAGTATGTACAGTATATGAGTATTATTGTTTAATTATATGGGCTAAAGATTGTGTTGTATCTCTAATAAAGGTCATTATATAATGAATTAAAATTAAATAAAGAATAAACATAGTTTCGCTAATAATTATTCACGCCTTTAATGAGTTGGGTATTTAATAATAAATATTACATTTATCCCACTTTACGCGTATCTATCTGTTTTCTAACCTTATACAATGAATTCTTTGTATGTAATTATTGGTTTGCAAGCTTCTTTAAGCGAAGTTTTCTTCGCTTTCTAATATTATAATGATAAATGGTTAAAAAATTATGTAATTTGATTGGTTAATTATCACGGGCAATCACGGGTTGATCGACAAAAATTAACCAATCACATGAATGTCTTCCTATGAGTTGCGCAATCAAAATTTAGATCTACCAAAGTTTAGAATCACAGATCATTTGCAGATCAAATTGGGCTGAAACTAGTTTCGAAGGCACGTATATGTTGTACCCCGGATGGGAATCATCCTGATTCGGAATCTGGCTGTCCCGATTCAGAATCGGGTAGCCGGTTTTGAAATTCTTAAATGGGTTACCCGGATTAAGAATTAGAACTTAACCGAATATATCACGTGAAA